ACTACCTTAACCTACTAAACTGTGAGGCCACCTGCATTTAATACTTTTTAAAGTATCAATACAATTTATAACAATAAAATTGTCACTCCAACTAGATAGTCACCTACATAAAATGCAGCCTAAATGATAATAGACATTATTTGTAATGAAAGCGAGGAAAATCTATTTTAGAACCATAAACTAATACAACTTTTCTGCAGAACACTTTGACAAAGCATAGATGGTGTAATGGATACATTGCTGGACTCCCATGTAGTCGACTGCAATTTGAGTTCCAGAATCAGTGGTTTGAAAGTCATGGTGGGAGTGTGTGCATGCATGCTCACGCTCCCAAGAAGAGAATGGAGGAGAAGGGACTACAGCATGGTCATCCCCCCAGGCAGTGATTTCTTGCTTTCTGTCTTCTCTGTCTCTCTGGCAAGAGCATGTGTTCTATAGGAAAAATCTCTCCCTAACAAACAAACAAACAAAAAAACCTTCTAAACTATATGTAGGGGGACCAGCAGATGGCGTGGTGGTTAAGGCACTGGACACTCCCATATGGCCGACCACAGTTCGAGTCCCAAACCTGGGGGCTTGCTTTCTCACTTTATCTGTCTCTCTCTTGTTCTTTCTCTGTCTCTCTCTGGTCAAATGAAATGAATGAATGAATAAATGAAGTTATAAAAAAAAAATAAAAAATAAACTATATGTATACTCAGGACCCAGTAATTCCACTTCTATGAATTTAACCTAAAGAAACATTGTAAGTGTGCACAAAGATAACTAGACATTATCAACAAGGTCTTATCCTTAACAATAAAAATTAGAAAACAATCCAAAGTATGTCAATTGATAATTGTAAAAACCATGGCAAAATGAGGGAGCTAACAGGTGGCATGGTAGTTAAGGTGCTGGAGTCCCACGTGGACGACCACAGTTCAAGACCCAGATCTGGTGACTTGAAAACCATGCCAGGTGTGTGTGTGTGTGTGCATGCCCAAAATTCCAGAAGGAGAATGGAGGAAAAAGATTACAGTGTGGTCACCCTCCCTGCAGAGTGATTTCTCACTTTCCCTCTCACTGTCTCCATCCCTCTCCGGCAAGCACACATGCCCTATGCCCAAAACCTTTAAAAATAAAAGGAACATTATACAGCTATTAAAGATGAAGTCATTCTCCATGTTCCAATTTGATACAGAAAACAAAAATTTAAACAGATGTCAGGGCTGGCAGGTGGCATGGTGGTTTAGGGCACTGAACTTTCACATGGCTGACTGTGGTTAAGGTCCCAGACCTGGCGGCTTTTTCTCTTTCTCTCTGTCCCTCTCTGGTCAAACTGAAATAAATAAATAGATAAATAAAGTTAAATAAAATAATTTCAAAGGAAAATTTCAACAATTGTACATATATGACCTTGGGACCAGCATATGGTGTAATGGTTATGTTGCTGGACTCTCATGTAGTGAAATGCAGTTCGAGTCCCAGACCCAGTGGCTTAAAACTCATGCTAGGTACATGTTCATGTGTGCCCAAAATCTCTAGAAGAGAATGAAGGAGAAGGGACTGCCAATATGTTATATATATTTTTTCTTTTAATTTATACACACACACACACACACACACATACGCATATATATAATACCATTTTGGTTAATATGCATGTACTTTATACGATCACGCCAAAGTGCTAAAATGGCTAGAAAGTAAAAATAAAACTGACTTTTACTTTTAAGCTATAAAACCAAAAACTTCAACAGGGGCTGGCAGGTGGCATGGCGGGTAAGGGCAACGGGATCC